CATACACAAAAGCAACCCCTTGGACAGTGCACATGTGCAGGAGGTGCAGAATTAAAGCCCTAACGAAGGGCCTGATCCTTCTGCCACGAGCCTGGCACTTGTGCAGCCCCACTAATCCTCCCGGAGACACTCCTGATTTACACCAGCGCCGGAAAGGGAACGAACCCCAGCTCGGATCTGACAAGTGAAAACAAACACTGGATTCAGACACTTTCTGCAGGGAAGGGGGGGGGAGCTGTTTAATTTTTGTTCCCTCTCTCCAGGCTGCTGCTGTGACCTCTGCTACCTCCTAAGTCAGCAACACAATATGTTGCAGCTGTGGCACAGCCACAGCCTGATTCAATTTGTGCGTGTGTGGCTGCGAGGGCAGTTCATCCCTCCAACGTCTTGTGGCGTGGCAGAGGTGGGGGAAGAGGGGGCTTGGTCCTCCCCTCCCAAGAAACAGGGGGGAAACCCTGCTTTGCCTCCCCTGCACAGCACTGGAGAGATGGGAACAAAGTCAACTGGAGGAAAACATCCATTCCCATCCCAGTTTTTAGGAGGTTGGGGTTTGGCCAAGCCAAGGCAGAAAATATCTGTTCAACAACTGTTTTCTGCCTAGAAAGAAAAAAAAAAAAAGAGGAGGAAAATGACTTTGCTGCCCACTCTCCTGCACATTCCCAGCTCCCAGGAGAGCAGGGGTTGTGTGTCCCTGGTGCAGTGCCCAGCTGGGCAAGGGTAGAGCTCGGAGCTTGTTTTCCAAGGGAACAGAGCCGGAGGTTTCTGTCACGTTCCCCCTCAGGGGTCCCTCTCAGCAGGTCCCCCCTAGAGCTGCCTCGAGGGGTTCTTTGCTGGGGCTCTGACTTTGGGGGAGTGGGGGTTTGGCTGAGGGGTTTTAATCTCTGCCTTCTCCAAGGCTGGAATTCAGCCTCGCTCTTGGCATTGTCATCCCTCCGCTTCACACACAGCTCCTGCTGAAAACCACCCTGGGATTGCCCAAATGTCAGCCCACTGCCAAGCCTCCAGGGAAGCAGGAATGGTAGCAGGGAAGAACTGGCAGCACCAAGGCTTCTCCACTCTGGCTCCTTTGGGGAACTTCTGCCCTGCCGTGGGACAGGGGAGCTGAGCTCATCCAGGCACCAAGGGCCCCTCCAGGAATTCCCCAGCCACGAGGATGCTCCGTGCTGGAGCACGTGCCAGGAGTTTTCAGGGGCCACATAAAGGAATCAGAATCCCCAAATTCATTCAAATCCAAAAGGATTTGAAAGCCTAAAACTCTCCCCACATCCCCTAACTGTGCCTTTACGACTGTGACCCAGAGCAGCGTGGAAGCAAAGGAATGACCTTGCCTTTCCAACGGCACCAGCCCTATACTTTCCATTCTATTTACTTACTTATGGCTTTTACCTTTGTGATACTGAAGCTCCTTCCCATCTGGCACAGCCAAAACCATCCCCCAGCTGTAAAAAAACCTCAGCCCCCCTCCCTCGTGGGAGCTGCAGCCTCCTCTCTGCGCTCCAACCCGGCACTACCTGCCAGCTCCGAGGGGCAAGGTGGCTTTTTCCTGGCTTTCTTGGCTTTCCTCTCGCTTCCCCTCATCAACTCCTTTGCCAAGCAGTGTAATTTTACTGCCTGGCTTAGAAGGAGCCAAGAAATACGTTTGCTGGTGTAAGCTGTGCATTAGATGGCGTGAAAAACATGCAGCTTCAGGGTTTTTAGGAGCCAGCTCCAGGGAACAGCGGAGCACCCGCCGAGCAGCAGGACTTGCCTTCCCCACGCAGCACTTCCAGCCTCCCTCCCTCCTCCCAACCACAAGCTCCTCAGGGTATGGGCAGGCTCTGCCCCGATGCTTCCACAGAACCAAGAATAACAGAGTCCAGACCTCACCTGGGGTCTCCAAGACCCTCCAAGATCTCTCCTTCCCCGCTCCAGATACCGAAAGCCACATTTTGGACTTGATTTCCCCTGAACACTGGGGGTGCTTAAAATCTAAATGAGTATTTCTGAGGCTCAGACCCCTCCACTGCTACAGAAATCAGCCAATCATGGATTCACAGAATCACGGAATAGTCAAGGTTGGAAAAGCCCTTTAACATCATCAAATCCAATCATCAACCAGCACCACCCCCACGTTCACCACTCAATCAAGTCCTCAAATGTCACATCCACAGGTTTTCTGAACACTTCCAGGGGGGGTGACTCCACCACTGCCCAGGGCAGCCCATTCCAATGCTCAATAACCCTTCTGGTGAAGAAATTTCTCCTGATGTCCAACTTGTCACCATCACCCAGATCTCCCACATGGAGGTGGCCCAGGATGCTCCAGCAGACTGGAACCAGCACAATCCCACAGGAATCCAAGGGTGGACAGACCCCCATCCTCCAGCACGGTCTCCACTGCCCAGCCCCTCCCCTCTGATGTTTCCAGACTCACTAAGCCTTTTCCCTTATAAATGTGAACTAAGCAAGAAGAATAAGTTCACACTTGGAAAAAAACCCAAGTTTTTTTCTTTAAAGCCCAACTTCTTTTGGGTTCCTGACAAAGCAATATTCTCCAGGCCAGTTGGAATCTGGAAAAATACACTCACTCAACCTAGCCACCATGACTCCAATAACAATTATAAAATGTCCAATAAAACTTGCATGTAATGTCAATTCAAATCTTGAAAAGCAGAATTAAGTGGTATATCAACATTAAACTTTATTGCTTCCTTTGCAGAGCAGAAGTATTGTCAATAAAAGTCATTCTGAATGAAGAAAAGGGCAGTAAATATTAAATAAACAGGTTTTTGTTGAAATGCTATAAAGGCACCAGAGCTGCATTTTACACTGGGACCCTTTTTGCCTTTGCAGACTCCCCTCGTGATAGAAATAAGGCAGTAATTGCCAACTATCAATAAAGTGCCAATTAAAGGGTGGTTGATGCCTGCATTTACTCCGTGTTGTTAGGAGCCTTTATTGCATGGAGTTGGCTTTTCCAGGTCCCCCTGGCTCTGTCTGACACCCCCCAGCACACCCAGGGTCGTGCTGCTCGTTAGGAGCCCCCGGAGGAGCCGGGAGGGCAACGGAGGTGACACCGGCCATGAGTCCTGGCTGGGGGCTGGGCAGGGATGGAGCACCCCAAGGTGAGTGAGGAGCATTGACAGAGTCCCAGAATGGTTTGGGTTGCAAGGGACCTTAAGCTCATCCAGTCTCACCCCTGCCATGGGCAGGGACACCTTCCACTAGCCCAGGTTGCTCCAAGCCCCGTCCAATCTGGCCTTGGACACTTCCAGGGAGGATGGGGCAGCCACAGCTTCTCTGGGCAACCTGTGCCAGGGCCTCCCCACCCTCACAGGGATTTCTTCCCAATATCCAACCTGAACCTGCCCTCCTTCAGTTTAAGGAGGTTGGGTTGGCTGGTGATGAAGTTTCTTCTGGCAGAGATGTGAAGGAGCAGCATCACCCCCTGAGCTCCCTGCACTGGTGTTTCTGGGAACACGGAACCAAGTGGAGCAGGGCAGCCCTGCCCCGAGACACGGCTCTGTGCCAAAGCCTGGCACTGGGCAACGTGGTTTGCTCTCTTCTGGGCCACTCACCCTGGTGTGTTCTGCTCCTTCCCAGCTCTATTCACCTTAGGAAGAGCCCTCCCTGCCCTTCCTTACACACAGAACAGCTCCTACTCACAATTCCTGCCTCCTGATCCGATCTCTGCCGTGTCTCAACACCTGCCTGCCTCTGCAACAAGCAGCCGCCAGAGATGGCAGGTTTTACTTTGCCCACGACCCAAAATAAGAGTTTTTTAGGATTGGGCTGAATAAAATCCTCCCAGTGACACCAAAAACCTCAGGTGTGATGCCCGTCACAAACAACCCTGAGACCTCCCTTGGTCAGGCCTGGCCTGTCCCACTGCCAGGACCTCCAGCTGCCCAAGTTCCACCCCAACACAACCAAACTGGCCCCAAAAGCTGTGCAGAGGTACAAGCTGATGCCCAGTGGCACCCAGACACAAAAGGAAGCGTTTGGGAAGCAGAAGGAGCGGGAACCTCAGCGAGGGCACAAAACCCCGCGGCTTTTATGTCAGACCTTTAAAACCTGACCAGCATTTTTGTGGCTTACCAAGGGAGTTTATAAGCTGTTCTCCAGTTTAATCATCACATGAGTTCACAGGAAGCAGGAACAGCTACTGAGTATGAATTTCATGATGCTGAAATGAAGCTGAACAAACCCAGGCGGCGAGGGCTGGGGATTAACGAGCTCTTTGAGCTCTGCCAGGGACAGGGATGAGAGAAATCAGGTGGGGTCTGGGAAATACGTATGCAGGAGCTTCTGTCCTCTGAGTTTTACACATGTACAAGAAAACCCAACTGGCATGTGAACACCATCCATTTTTCAAGGTATTATTTACACTACAAACCTCGGCTCAGTGAATCTGGGGGTTGTGAAAAGCAGCTCAAACCTTTTCAGAGATAAAGAACAGCCCTTGAATGGTAAATACATGAAGAAGAATCTCTTGAAAATGTGAAAGATGCCTATAAAAATTAGCTTCTGGAGAAACTGCAGGTACTCCTGAGCCACAGGATGCACCAGTCCTAGGCTGACACTTCTCTGCCACCCAGAAATCAAACCAGCAGCACGGGAAACAAACCTCCAGTGAAGCAGAAAGAGAGGCCACAGTGCTGTGACCCACCCGAGAGCCAACAGGTCACGGCTCTGAATCATCCTGAGTCACTTCCTCTGGAGTCAGCTCCTCTGGATGCTGCTCCAGGGAATCCCATCCCTGCTCCTGCCACCCCTGCCCATGTCCTGGCAGAGCCAGCATGAGGAGTGTGTGTCGTGTGTGTCTGCACCTTGCCCAGCCCACCCACAGCTCCAGGGGCAGTGGGGCTGCTTTGACACCCCTCAAAGACCCTCTGCTCCATCTTGGGAGCAGATGTTCCCCCTTGGAAGCGAAACAGGAGCACCTCACCTGGAAGAGGATCTGCAGGAGGCCGTGCAGGATGCACATCCGCCGTCCCAGGAAGAGGAAGAAGGGCACCAGCAGCTCGATGAAGTGGTTGACCAGGGTCTCCAGGCGGTGGAACCACCAGGGCGAGCGGTGCATGAAGTAGGCGATGGGGTTGGGCACCGGCTGCGTCTGAAAGAGGGCACGAAAAAGGGATCAATCCCCTCTCCAAGGCTCATTGCTGAGGAGAGTTACAGAGTTTTGGCCTCTTTCCTTATTTCTTTCCCCAAGACTCCTCTCAGGAGAACCATCCTTTGCCTCTGGGAACTCATTCCTTTGCGGAGAAAATCGCTTCACTCGAGTGTTTTTCACGCGAACCCAACGCGTTTTTAAACCAAACCATCTTCTGAAAACCCAGAGTTTTACTTTTCCCTGTTTTCATCACAACCAAAACCCATCTTAAATTAAACCAGCTATTATTTAATACCGAAATATTACACACGGCTTGACACTGGGTGACGTTAAACTGCCCTGCACGAGTGAAGATCATCAGAGCAACTGAGCAGATACAGAAACTGAGACAAAGATTTTCTCGGGGTCACACAGAGGGTCAAACAGAGCCAGGAATGGAAACCAGATTACAAAACCTTGGAGATCTTCTTTCAAAATGTTTAAATTTGAAATAAATGTGGCGGTAGAGCTGCTTTCCAAAACTGTAATTTGGGAGAGGAAAGTGTAATTCCTCCAAACATGTTAGACTGGTTAAGGTATTTACACACTGGCCTTGGGACAATATTATTCTTTTATCAGCCTGAATTTTTTGACACTGGGAGATTTTTCCATCCAGTACAATAAAACTGCAAATTTTACAAAGGAAGCAAACCCAAAACCTGATATGTTAGTAAGTGCCACCCTAAGAAATCGTGCAATTTTAGTGAAAATAAATGTTAATTTATCTCTAGCGTATCTGACAGGCTCAAATTCATTGGTATTGTTTGAAAATTGCAACAACAAAAAAATAGAGAGGTTGAAAACACGAATGTTAATTAAAGGAGACAAAACACATCTTTAAATTATTTGTAGTTAAATCAAAAATACAAACAAAACAGGGAAAATCCTGTAGGATGCATGGCAAGCGAGAGTGCTCCCACTGCCAAATCCCACAACTATTGTAATCCCTTATTAGCAAAGCTGGGATTAATAAAGTTGTTGCTTTCCATGGGTTGGAGCTGCTGGAGCCCCTCAGGACAGGAGACCGCATCCTTCCTTCCTCGGACACGGCGCCGGATGGAGCCGTGCCGGGGTCAGGGAGCTCTGCCAAGTCCACTCCAGCCAGGGCTGGAGGTCAGGGCAGCCCCGGGTGCCACCCAGGGTCCTTCCCCCCCCACGGGACCTGGTTTGAGTTACTCTGCTTGTTGGACTGTTCTCCAGCATTCCCAGAGATTATTTTCTTTTTTTTTTTTTTTTACCTTGATCCCAAATTGCTGAGAAATGCTTTTATCCTCCCCAAAAGGCAGGTGGGTTTCTTGGCTCTTTTTATTATTATTATTATTTTTTTTTAAAGTGCTTTAACCAAAATTGACCCAGCTGAGGTATCAGTCCTAGAGGCTGGAATGTTTAGCACCTGAGGCCGAGGAGCACAGAGAGCCGACAGTGCTACCTGAGTAATTACACACCTACTTACAACTGTAATTAGCACATTAATGTGCATTAATGTTGCTGCTTGGTTGGGCTGGGACTCACAAAATCATCTCCCTGACCTGCTCAAGGGCAGAAAGAGAAAATTCCAGCCTCAAGTTCCACCGGACTGGGACAAGAAGCAGAAGGAAGTTCAAGGCCAGGTTGGAGCAACCTGCTCCAGTGGAAGCTGAGCTTTAAGGTCCCTTCCAACCCAAACCATTCCATGGTTCTATGCCTGCACATGTAAAGCAGAACACAGCGATAGGGAAGTGATTCACAGGACCCAGATACTCTTGAAAAGCTGCTGGGGGAGGAGATCTGTGTGTGAATGTGTGTGTTCCTCCCGATGCCTTCCAGATGCTGCGATTCCGGGTGCGGGATTCCCGGGGAGAAAGCCGTGTTTACTCGGGATGGGGTGTCAAGGCAAAGACCCAGAGCAGTGTGTGAATCACCTTGGTGAATGCCTGGCATGCTGGAAAACTCCCTGCTTTCCTTTTGGGCCGGAGTTTGTCGCTGCCCAGAGGTGCTGGGAACACCCGGCACCCCGACTGGTGGGTCCTGTTGGGGGAAAGCACCTTGCTGGGATTAGAGAGGGAATTTCCTCCCCATGTGGTATCTCAGAGTAATCATATCCTATGGAAGCATCGCAGCAGTGTTGGAGGCAGCGGTGTCAGAGCCCAGGAGGAGAGAAAAGCTTTCCAGGATCACCTCACCCAGCTCAGTTGTGGGATTTTGAGCTTTGCGCTTTGCTCCGTGGCTGCTCTGCAAGGAGAATCATGGGATGGTTTGGGTTGGAAGGGACCTTAAAGATTATCTAGTTCCAAACCTCTGCCATAGGCAGGGACACCTCCCACTAGCCCAGGTTGCTCCAAGCCCCGTCCAACCTGGCCTTGGACACTTCCAGGGATCCAGGGGCAGCCACAGCTTCTCTGGGCAACCTGTGCCAGGGCCTCACCATCCTCACAGCCAGGATTTCTTCCCATATCTTATATTAAACCAACTCTTTCAGTTGGAAGCTGTTCCCCTTGTCCTGTCACTCCAGTTCCTGGTGAAGATTCCCCCTCCATCTCTTCATCCTAAGAAGCATCTTAGAAGCAGCCAAGAGTTCCCCTCCATCCACAGCCGTGACCTGCTGACACACAGACACGGAAAAATGCAGCTCCAAGTCCGATGCAACTCAGTGAATGATCCCAAGGCAGCGTGAGGGAGCGAGGGGAGCCCTGGGCTCTGAGCAGCCCCTTTTCTGGGCACTCTGCGAGACAGAAAATGTTCTTAAATAAAAAAACAACGATTAGCAAAGCCCAGCTTTCTGTGTCAGCACAAGGTGCAACTTAATAACCCTTCTGCCTCCCTCACACCTCCAGCAGCCGGGGAAAAACTGCTGCTGGGAAGGCCTTTGGAAAGGGGACGGGGAAAATGAACCCCATAACTCCTGGATGGGGCAGATTTGTAAGGTGTGAGCGGGGCCGGCGCTCGGCGGGGGCTGCCCCAGGAATTCTGGGTCCCCAGCCCGGGTCTGTTCCCTGCCTCGGATCGACCAGGTTTTACAAGGGCTGGGAAGAGATTCTAAAAATATGCACAATAAACTGTTTTTTCTCCCTAAGGGGTCTATGGTTTAATTATGTTCTTAGTGAGAACCATTAAAGTGCTAAGTACCTGAAGACTCCTAATTTACTAAACTATAGGCTACTAAAGCCCAACAGAAGGCCATTATACACCAGAGGGAAGGCTCTTCTCGGGGCCTGTAAATGCACAGGGTCTCTCCTCCAGCCTCCCTGTTGCTGTGGTGTTCCATAAACTCCGACGGAGTATTTAATCCCAGGGTTAGACAGCCCAGCTCAGCCTAAGGAAACCTCCAGGCTCTCCTACACGTGGGCAGGAAAACAAGTCCCACATTGTCCTCAAACAACCCACTGCTCACACAGGGCTGGGGCTCGCAGCAACCTGGGCTGGTGGAAGGTGTCCCTGCCCAGGGCAGGGGCTGGGACTGGATCATCTTTAAGGTCCCTTCCAACCCAAACCATTCTGGGATTCTTTACTGGTCTCACAGCACAGCTCCCACACAAGTAACTGTGCAGCATGGGAGGGTGAAGTTGGAGGGGGAGGGAATCATGGAGTTATGGAATGGTTTAGGTTGGAAAAGCCCTCCAAGATCAACGAGTCCAACCAAGTGCAAGGAATGGCAGAAAAAATCTTGAAAAACAGAAGGAAATGGAACAACAGTAAATATGAGTAAATAATGAGAGGAAGCAACTACTGGGTCAAAAGAAACAGGATCACAGAATGGTTTGGGTTGGAAGGGACCTTAAGGTTCCACCCCCTGCCATGGGCAGGGGCACCTTCCACTAGCCCAGGTTGCTCCAACTATGTCCAACCTGGCCTTGGACACTTCCAGGGATGGGGCAGCCACAGCTTCTCCGGGCAACCTGTGCCAGGGCCTCCCCACCCTCATAGGGAACAATTTCTTCCTCATATCCAGTGTGAATCGATTTTCAGTTTCAATCCATCCCCCTTGTCCTATGGAATCACAGAATACAGTCCCACCTCACCCCCAGAACAGGCACAGGGAACGTGTCAGGAACAGCTCAGGGGCTCCCACAGTCAGGAGAGAGGGAAAGCCTTTGGCAAACACAGCAGAGTGTGAGGAGCAGCAGCACCCTGGAAAACTAGGATAAGAGGTACTATTAAATGTTTTCTTGAGTGCTTGTGGAAGGTTTAGACGAACTGCAAAGCTCAACTCTCCAGCTTCCCAGGCACTGAGGCATAAACTCATCTTCTCAGCTTCAAAGGAAAGCTCTTGGTTCTCTTGCACTTTGGACTGAAAAATGAAAAAGATTCTCCAGAATATTTTGATCACCGTGATCCAACAGGCTGTTTCTCTGCCAGCCTATTCTGCTTCAGAACTTGACCCTTCCTCCTTATGCATCTGCAGATCAAAGCTCCACCTTCCCAAGCCTGGGCAGGAACATCTTCCCAGCCCCACGTGAAGAGGCAGCGAGCAGAGAGGAGCTAAACGGGGTCACTCCCAGCTGCTGGCAAGTGTGGGAAGATGAGTGTCTTGACTGAAGTCTTCCCCTCTCGTGCTGTACCAGCACTCCTGCAAAACACCCTTCTTGGAAGAGGGAGATCCCGGAGAGCCGCGGCTTCCTCGCTCTGGAAGGGGCTCTGCACGGGCAGCGACCTTGACTGATGAGTAACACAGTGATTCTGCACAAAGAGACACGTGTAGGGAAGGACTTGGAAAGGCAGCTGAGGAGGGAACTGCTCAGCCTCTCGTGTAACCCCAGCGGGACCTCGAGCTGTGGGTATTTTATCCGCCCGTTCACGTGCACGAGGCTCCACGTCCACGCTACCAAAACACCCGAGGTTAAAAATAGGCCCTTCGAAACGTTCCAGTTATTAATAAGATTCCAATCAAAATAAAATCATAAGGAAAAAAAATTTAAAAAAACGTATCTGGAATAAAACCCACGCGGCTCCAAGGTCCAGTGGGGTCACAGGGGTTCGGCTCT